GTACATGTAACTGCTCCTTAGCCAGGGGCAAGGAGCTCAGCGCTGCCGCCGGGTAGGAACGAGGTGCCGGCCGGATAAGACAGGGCGGAGGGCGGGATTTGCCCTGCAGGCCCTGTGTGTGCACCTGCGATGTAGAGTGTAGACGCGCGTCCTCATCGTCACACGTCTGACCACTTCTGGGTCACCGCAGTCCCTGCGTGTCACGCCCAGTCGGTACGCCAGAACCACAGCCTCTCTCTTGTCGGGGAGAAGTGAAGAGGCACACGGGGAAAGAAAGAGACAGGCAGAGAAGCAGGCAGGTTTCGGCAGGTGGCTGGGGGGAGGGGGGAGGGGGAGACGGAGACGGAGACGGAGAGGGAGACACGGCGAAGGGGAGCGCGAGCTGGGGAACACCCACCTTAGTCGCGTCCGTGGGAAAACACGGCCACTGTCCTGCGGACTCCGGAGCACCGGTTCACAGGGGCTCACGGGTGGGGACCTCCGTGCGGCGGTCCCCTGGTCTGTGTGTGCTGTATGGGGCTGGTGTGCCGTGTTCCGGGCCAGGTTGGTGCCGTGTTCCGGGCCAGGCTGTGCCCGATGAGCCGGAACGAAGGGCGTGGGGGTCGAGTCCTTGCTTGCCAAGAGCCCTTCTGTAATGCCGGGCGCCCACTTACGGTGCCTTGTCCGAGTGACGGAGAACTCTGCGTGACCTCCGCCGGTTCACCCCTCGGCGCCCTGGCTCGTTGGGGTGCGGTCATTTCCTACATCGACCCTTTAACATTTACCCGGAATTCGAGCAAAGGGCACAGAGGACTGTCGGGGGAACGGAGACCCGTGAGGAGGGACGTTGTGGCCTGCCCTCCCAGAAATGTCACTGCCATCGTCTCCCAGTTCCCGTTCCCGGGGTCACCAGCGCACCGCCGCCGCGTCCCTTAGCAGCTCACGCCTAAGTCACTGACACGACCTCCGGGTGGAGTTCACGGCCTCCAGCTCCTTTCCCCCCAAGCGTCCCCCAGAACTAACCTTAGCGAAGCTCCACTCCCTCCCAGGCCCGGGAGCCTGCAGTGAATCCACGACCTAATGCGCCAGACACGCGGGTGTTCTCCGAGAGCCGCCCCCCCCACACCCTGCACCACACGACCTTGACCAGAGTCGTCTCTGCGCCCGACCCTTTTCCTCTCCCCTCCCTCTTTCCCCGGCACGTCCTCTCAGCCGGCCCGGCCGGTAGCTTCCTCGCTGCAGGAATTCCTTGCCGCATCTGTTTCCGGCCCTGGCCAGCCGCCACGTTTCTCTGCATGTGCAGTGGCCCCGGGTCACCTTCCCGGTCTGTCCGCACTCAGCTGAGGTTCCCCGTGGAGCGGTGCAGACTCGTCCCCGCCCTCCCCCCCAGCATCCAGGAGCCAGAGTGTGGCGACTGTATAAACCCCTGCGACACCCGTGTCCGTCCCTACGTCGCGTCCCTGCGTCCCCAGGCTCAGCGCTGTGGCCGGGGGTATGTGTGTTTCCCATTGTTGGTGCCAGTTACGGCTGTAAGACGCTCAGTCATTCAGAGCGCTGGTCCACGTGTGTTTATGGAGGGCCTCCTGGAGCCAAAGCAGATGCTCAGGAAAAGTGGACTAAAAAGGTGTGAATGGGAGCACAGAAATTATAAAATAAAAATAGTCGTTCACTGACCCACCGGTCCCATCAGTGACTTGGTTGCATACATATTGTGCGCCCGGCGCTCTGGGTGGGGAGGCGTGGCTGGGTCATGACCGCGTCAGCCACGTACCTGCGGCCTCCGTGGTTTCACGTGATGCCGACAGCCACGGTGGAGCGGAGGTTCTATCTGAAGCGCATTGTGACAGGCCTTGTGGGTGGAAAGGCAGGAGAAAGGGAAGAATCAGTGAAGAACTAGGCTCCAGAGAAAGTTTCTTGAAGGTCTTCAGTCTTGAACTGGAGACCTTCAGGTCTTGAACCAGACCTTGATATTTGGGATGCGGGTTTCCATGTAAAGGCCAGTGTCACACGGCAGGGATGGATGACAGTGAGCACGAGTTCCTTCCAGTTCGGGAACTAGATGTGTTTGCTAGGACAGGTACGGGCCGGGCCGACGGAGTGGGGGGAGGGGGGCAGGAGGCATGGGGGAGGGGGGCGGTTCGTTTCAGGAGAGCGAAACGCAGGAGGAAACGCACGTGGAGATCCCCGCAAGGCACCTCGTCCGATGTCGGCGCTCATTAATATCAGCACGTCGGACGTTAACTACGTGGTCCCTCTATCCATGAAATGACTTCTTCCCATTCTCCCAGACGATGACTAATCTAATAACCTTTCTCTGAGCGTCAGGCTTATCCCTCCTGGAAATCCTTCACAAGCCCTAGCAATGTTCTCTGCAAGAAGTAAGCAGTCTCACCTCAACTATATCGGGAAACCCAGCTGACAGACAGTTCTGTGTCAGGTGTGTGTGCGTGTGCTGTCCGTGGCCATCTGCCATTGTGTGCTCAAGACCCATAAGTCAACGTACATGCGCAATATGTCCATTCTCTCTGTATCTGCATCGCCATGTAGATACGTGCTTATGCATATAAAGGGTCTCCACGCAGCAGATAGTGACGGGGAATTTGGCAGGGACTCGCCTACCGCTTTTGACTCCCTGCAACTATCACAGTTTTGTCTTTTCCAAAGACACGCGTGTGGCGTCCCCCCACCACCACCACCACCACGGACACCGCAGCCTCTCGTGGCCGCACCGCGCACCCTGTTTCTGGGCAGTGACTTTCCCCCCGGGGGGTCAGCTGGTCTTCTGCTCTCACCCCCACACAGAGCCCGCCGCAGGCGATGGACTGCTTCCCGCTGGCTCCTTCAGTCTGGTCGGCTCGTCTTCCCGCCTGCGTCTCCGTGCAGGGCAGCAGACAGCTGTCCCCGCACTCGACTCTTAGTGGCACCGTTCCGTGTCACCAGGAGGACGGGCTCCCTCTGCGGGAACCAGAGCCTCTGCCTCCTCCTCGCTGTCACCTTGCACGCTGCTCTTAGTGAGGGCCGGGGCAAGGCGGGCTGTCGCGTCCTCCGCTCTGTGGGGTGTGCCCCCCTGGGCCCCAAACATTGGGCCTCTAAAGCCTTCCTCCTGCGCCGGGCGCCCATGTCTGCACGGGGTTCGTCTGGCACCGTGGCCTCTGCCGTGTTGTCCGAGTCTCGCTGGCCTGCTCCGAGTACCGGGAGGTCACCACTGGAGTGTCGGGCAGCGGGTGCTCGGGGATGACCAGGATGCTGTAGGCTCTTCCGGGCCGCGCTTTGGCAGGAGCACGAAACTGGAAGTGTCAGCCGAGCGCAACTCCTCCAGCTGTGGGTCAGCAGACAGGGGTGGGAAGGGGCAGGTGCTCTGGACCAGCGCCCTCGCGTTGGGCTCCTGACCTTCTCGCTCAGACACTGAGGCTGGGGCGGTCCAGGTGCCGGCGGCTCTGGCGTCCAGTCTTATTTCTCCAGCAGGGAAATAGCCAAGCTTTCTTTTTCACCTGGTCACATAAAGGAACATTTTCAGTAATGGTCTCCTGTTTTCTCCATCTGTTGGTAGCAGATGAGGGGTCCCTCCGGGCTTAATGGACCGTGTCGCCAAAGTCGGAGTGGACAGCGTGTTTCAGAGACCAGGCGGGGAGAGGAGCAGGGGGCACAAGCTGTGTGTGAGCCGCGTGACTCTTGCGTTAGAAGCAGGGAAGAGTTATGTTTTGTCCCCTTCAGGGGGGAATTGTTACAAGGACACAGGTGGACAGTGCAGGGCACAGTCTGTGCTGAACTGCAGACAGCCCCGAAAGGACATCGGCGGGTTCAGATACAGGACGCGGAAGCACCGCGACCTGCTTAGGGACACCCCAGCCCAGGCGACATTGGCCGTCGTCCTGGGGATCCCTGACATTAAATTATCAAGGGCTTTTTTTTTCCATCTTGTTTCGTATTTGATAGTACTTTGAAATATGTGGGAAAAGCGAATTTTGAAAATATTTTAATTGTTAAGAAGTTACCTTTTGGTAATATTAATGTTCGGTGCCCGTTTCTCTGGGGACAGGACTTCTGAGGACCACAGACAGACCTGTTGGGAACTGTGTGTGTGAGATGAGAAATGTTTTGTATTTTATTGTCATTGCACGGAGAATGGGCTTATCCAAATAAACTCCAACAACTCTTTTACTATTCACATGTCCTTGGGGATGACCTCAAATTAATACTCTCAGTTTGTCTCCTTTCTGTCATAAAACTGCACAGTTCATCTCCTAGCAGAAATACGTGGTTATTCAGGAAATCTTTTTTTTTCCTACAAAGCGTTTTAAAGGAATCCAACTTGTTTAGAACTTGTATATATCAATTTATACTAATGTCATTACCTCAATTTAAGAAACTGGGTACTTGGGTGGGCTGGGGGTGATCACATGGACAAAATCTGATAGTAGAAGGTTCTGCTGAATCATCAGTCATTTCGAAATTCTCCTTTCCTATTTGCCAGTGAGATATGACCTCCTGTTTAACCTACCTACTGTGACTCGATAATCATTTTTCTCTTGACTTTGGAGAAGTTCAGACTCTATGTATCATTATAATTAAGTTCAAGGAGCATTTATTCAAAACCGCCCGATGCACAGGACTGTGAGGGTGTCAGCGTGAAGCAGGCGCAGCGTCCGCCTCCACGGCGCCCCGGCCTCTCGGGCAGGGGAACCGCATCAGTCCCAGGAGGTAATGGTGACGGACTGATGGGAGTGCAGGTACGTGTGCGGCGTGACTAGTGGGTTAGTTGGGAATTAGGAGTCAGGGGAAGCTTCTCAAAAGAGGGTCTATCGGGGCTCAGGCTTAAACAGCTGACTGGTAAGTCCGTGAATGTAAAACATATAAAGTTAGGAAAATCGCTGTTCTGTATAGTTCATGGAATGCTTCTGAGTCTCAAGACGTGACCCCAGTGTGTGCGGGCTCCATGCTCCGCAGCCCGGCAGGCTTGCTCGCCGCCCCACTGCGCGGGCGGCAAGTCCCACAGCAAACGTCTGTCCTCGCCTCCGCAGGAGCCCGGTCCTGGTGTTCCAGTGCGACTCCCGCCACGTGATCTGCCTGGACTGCTTCCACCTGTACTGCGTGACCAGGCTGAACGACCGGCAGTTCATCCACGACCCTCAGCTCGGCTACTCTCTGCCTTGTGTGGGTGAGTCTTGCGCCTCCCTCCCCCTCCCCCGTTCACTGCTATCCTAGCGCCGAAGGAGAGCTGCCGAGGTAAGGGTGTCCTAGACACACCCAGTCCCTTGCTGAGGGGTGGAAACTCCAATGTCTATTTCGTTATCACCAGACAAGAGACATTCATGTTTGGATGACAAAAAAACACAGAACACTAAGATGTGAAAGAACCGTGTTGAACTAGCAGATGCAAAACCTGCAGGCAGGCACTGGAAATGGAATGTGCAATATTATTCAGCCAAGGACATAAAGTGTGCCTAGGGACTCACCCCGCAAGTTACAGATGGATTAGTCTGGAGCAGCACCATCAAATCGTCCACGCCTGTCGCTGCAAATTCTGAGCGCATGTGCGCGCGTGGATGAAAGAACATGTGCTAGAAGAGAGATTAAGAAGGAGATAAAGCTGAACTGTTGAAGGTGTGAAATATGTTTTTAAATCTTTCAACATTTACAAAACGTCTTTTACTCGCACTATATTGTTGCTTGTATTTTTTAATTGAGGTGAAGTGCGAGGTCGTACACAATTAACCATTTTAAAGTGTACAGTTCCGTGGCGCTCTGTGCAATTACAGTGCAATGCAGTGACCACGTGGCTCTCTCTCTGGTTTCAAAACACTTTTATTACCCCAGAAAACCAGCCCATACCCATTCGGTGACCACGGCCCACACCCCCATCCTCCCACCCACCACAACCACTGTGGTCTGTTTGGGGGGATTTTTCGATTCCGGGCACGTCCTATAAAAGGGAACTTGCACATGTGACCTTTAGTGTCTGCCTTCTTTCACTCAGAATAGTGTCTTTGAAGTTCATCCAAGCCGTGGCATGTATCTTCACTCCTTTTCATGGCTGAATAATATTCCACTGAATGGATCTACCACAGTTGTTTATCCATTCATTCGTTGGTGGGCACTGGCGTTGCTTTACCTTTTGGCTGTTATGAATAATTCTGGGTCACATCATAATCCTGCGTTCAACCCTTTGAAAAACTACAAAATGATCTTATGTAGCTGCAGCCATCCTATTAAGTGTGAAGTGGCATCTTATTGTGGTTTTGATTTGCATTCCAGTAATGACCAATAATGTTGAATGTCTTCTCATGTGCTTGCTCGCTGTCTGACTATCTATTTGGAGAAATGCCCATTCGAGTCCTTTGTGCATTTTTAATTGGGCTCTTTGCCTTGTTGAGTAGTAGGCATTCCTCACGTGTTCTGGACGTGGAACCCTACCAGATACGTGATTTCCAAACATGTCTCTTCTTCTGTGGGTCAGTGATAATGTCCCTTGATACACAAAAGTTTTTAATTTTGGTGAAGTTCAATTTATCTGGGTTTTTTTTTCCCGTTGCTGTTTGTGCTTTTGGTGTCAAGTGTAAGAGTCCATTGCCAAATCCAAGGTCATGGAAATTTACCCCCACGTTTTCATTGAATGGCTTATGTCTTATGTTTAGGTCATTGATCTACTCTGAGTTAATTCTTGTTTGTGAAGGGAGGTGAGGGCCCATACCTCATTATACATTTGTTTCTAATGGCTATAGTGTGAATGGGTGGGTTTCATTGATTTTGAAAACTGTGGTTAGAAACCATGTGGTATATTGATTGAATGGTCAGGGTTTACGTTCAGTGTATTTCAATGCTTAGTTTTAGTGCCGTTCGCAGCTGAAAGATACACCTCAAAATTACTTCCAAGACCTCAATGGAAGTAGCTAGTTGCATTGTTGACTTTGTAAAGTATGATCATATGATCATTTTTCTAGTGTATCTGCCAATAATGCCATGGTCTTTAAATTACGCTTTACATAATCCAGGTGTCAATATGTCATTAAGGGAAGCTCATTGAATGGTTTTGTGCTGTTATGTTTTTAACAGATGGATTCAAAAATCAGTGGGACACTGATTTTTATTTGAAGTTTGGAAGATTTTGTTTCCGTTTTTAATTTTTAATGAGCTTTTTAGTGGATAAACCTTTTCACAAAACCAAAGAACTCAGAAACATTAATAAACATCCATTTCCAAATCTTCTCTTCATAGACAAGTTACTTTTAAAAAAATCAATTCACTTCTCATTTATTTTAAAAATTTAGAGCTTTTTAATTATAGAACATTTTGAACATACTAAGTAAAGAAAAACAGTAAATAACCACACTTGGTGCACATTCACCAAGCTTCCTAGTCCAGCAAGAGGTTCCGGGCTTTCTTTGTAAAGTCCTTGCTCAGTCACCTGGGCTCTGCTCTGTCCCCAAGGTTCCCTGGTGCTTAGAGGTCTCAGCCTCGGTGTGGGGCGGGCTCAGGGCTGCTCAGTAGGCCGCCGTTTCCCAGGCCTCGCCGGAAGAGCTGGGGAACGTGCTTTCAAAAAGTAAGTACAAACCACAATAGCAGTGGTGTCCTGCCATTTGCGGTTCAAAGTCAGAGTTAAGGAATTTGTGCTTGAAGTCACTAATCTTACGACAGTCGTTGCGTCTTAGCAAAACTCCTGTTCTGAGGTGACGTCAGCACGTTCACTCGTGTAAGTCACGACACACGCCCGACGGCACCTGCATGAGGACACCACCACCATCATCCACGGCACCGTCACCTGGGGCCCTGGGGAGGCTTGGGCCCTGGGTTTCACCGCCAGGCTGAGTTCCCAGGGACAGCGAGGGTCACACTACACTTATGTCCCCGATCACACGCATATTTATTTTTCTTCAAATTGCTTTTCAAATTTAGTTTGTTGCCGTAATTCGGCAACGTGCTGGCAGAAGTCCACAGTCAAAGCTCCGAAAGGAGCTCCGTGAACGGGAACAGAGCTTTCATTCCCACACACTTCAACTCCTTTTCTCCCCGCGTGGGTAAACCATTGTCGGGAAAATCTCCCATCTTAAAAACATGTAAACAGATGACCAGCGGCGTCGATGTCGACACAGATTTGCGCCATGGCCTTCTAGAGTAGAAGGCCGATACCGTGCTGCGTGCTTTTCTCCACCTCACTTTTCCCCGCCTCCATGTCACACACTCCTCCCTAGTGACACATGGAGAGTGTCTTCACTGAAGAAGACAGCGTCAGGGAATGCCTGCCACTGTGCGTGTGCGTGCGCCTTACTTTTCCCTTCGTGGTGAGCACTTAGAGCTCACGTTTCTTGTTACAGACACTGCTGCTGCTAACCGACTTGTGTGCGCGTGTCTTCCCGGGGTCCGGCCCAAGCAGCGTGGGGGCGGAGTCCGGGGTGCGGCCACCGCGTCAAAGGGGAAGAGTGTGTTCAGCCTAATTCCCCTCCCCACGGCCGGGCTGCGTCTGGTTCCCACCACAGCAGCGCCCCCACACCTGACCCCGTCTCACCCATGGGTCAGTTAAGAGACCCGGATTATCCACCCCCGTCTTACATCTGAGAAATGGCATTTCCGCGTATAGTTCTTTTTTCGAACAAGGTTGAGCACCTTTGATGAGTTTAAGATCCTTTTGCATTTCTTTTCCTCATTCATTTTAAAAAACATCACCTTTTCCTCGAGGAACGGGTTAAGTGAATAAGTTGCATGTCTTTTGGGGGAAACACTTTCTACATAACACACTGCAGTCATGGGAAGGGTGGACGATGTTGAATCATTTACATTTATTTGACGAATGTATGTAAACTCGCTTTGATTTTGCTAGATTTTCCGCTGGCCACGAGGTAGCGGCCTCTCTGTGAAACAAAAGATCTGCACGATCAAACTCTACGTCTAATTAAAATGCATCCTGTGTATAGGTTCAAATGGAGTGCAGTTACACTGTAAGTGCCTCTTTAAAAGCGATTTCTCTAAATTAACCTTGTCAAGGACACCCTCAGAGCCGTGCGCGCTCCCCGGCTTCCCTTCCTTGCCTTAACGGTGAGGCAGGGAAGGAAGGAATTTTTAAGTGCGCTGTTTTGTGTTTTCTTTTCTTTGGGATCCTTTTAAATGGGTTTTTTGCAAACACACCTTCGTCGCTGCTGGCTGCTTAAACAATGTGTTACAAAGCCGTGCTTTGGTTTTTGAAGTGACACTTGGCACCTGGTCCCCTTGATGTCCAGGAACAACTAGTGGAAGGCGACCTGCTTCCCCGTTTCGTCCTTAAAAAAGAGCGTAGCCGATGGCCAGGGGCTGAGGCCGGCCCCTCGCCGGGGCAGTAACCCTCCTGTGCTGAGTAGTTCGTTCACTCCGATCCCATTTCTTCACATCTCCTTCAGCAACGTTGTAACATACACAGTAGCCACCCTTGTCCACGGCTTCGCTTTCCGAGGTCTCCATCATTCCCGGCCAACCTGAAATGGTCAGTGGAAAAATTCCAAAAGTGAACGATGCACGAAGTTTAGATTGCGCGCCGTTCTGAGTAGCGTGACGAGCTCTCGCTGTGCCCCAGGTCGTCCCATCGGGAGGTCAGCCGTCCCTCTGTCCAGGGTGTCCCCGCCACGTGGCACCCAGCCATTCCCCACTGGGTAGCCGCTGGTGGCATCTCGCCGCTCGTGCTCAGGGCACCCTGGTTTCACTGAACGGTGTCCCCAGCGCGTAAGGGCAGTGATGCCGGCACTTCGTGGACGCCACAGGGAAGCCACGGGGTGCCTCCCTTAATTAAGGGAAAATGTGTGGACAGGACAGTGAGAGAGCTTGAGAGAGAGAAGCCCAACTTATGAATGGAACTTTGTTACAGGTCTGTATGTGTAAGAAAATCATCGTGTGTGTGGTTCAGTGGTACCTGTATTGTCAGGCCTCCCCTGGGGGTCTTGGAACATGTCCCCGCGGATGGGGGGCCCACGGTGTTCCCAAAGCACTGACTCGTAACAGACTGTAGTTGCCACAGCGTTGTTTCAGCTGTGACTCGGGTCTGTTTCCCCCGCACTACGTGAAAAGGAACTTTTGAATGTCATAGAGTTTTTTATGAAAACAAACTGGACTGGGTGGAGCCTTTGCTCATGTATTACTTGCTTGATTTCTGAGTGTCTTGCTAAATGGGATGGCTTCACACCCAACTTAGTTTAC